TTTTCCAAAGTTCCAGTTTTTTTGAACACATCCATGTGGATATTTGGTGCCTTGTCGCTCATACATCTATTGATGGTTTCTAACTTTTTTTACAAACATTGATGACTTTACATCATTTAATTGGATTCCTATTTTAAAAACAAAATTTATTGTCAAAACTATTGATGGTAACCTCCTTAGCTAGGTTGGGCTAAAGCTAGGAAATGCGAATGAAGGTGTGTTTACTTGGATGAATGGTGAAGAAATGTGGTGGTAAATGGTACAAGGATGATGAGCTAAGGTATGGATGCGGTAGAAGCTCTAAGAGATATGGTGGTGATGGTATAGTATTTGGTGGCTCCAAGAGATGATAGACCAACTCAAGGAGGAAGGTGACTAGATTTGCCTCATGGGTTGCTCTAGTCTTGATCTAAGATGAGTAGTATGGCTAAAAATGGGCAGCATAACATTACTCAATATAAAAGATAAAATAAAAGGGTGGAGACAACTCTATTTGTAGGTCAATGATGTCTCCTTTTAATTCTAAAAGCATGATCTCCCACCTTTGCTTTCATTGGCAAAAAATGAGGCCTTCTAAGGAATGGAAAAGTGTCCACAAATCCTCTCAAATGATGGGAGGACATGTGGCCACTCACAAAACACAAATACTCTCCAATCCTAGGCCACTTCTAAAAAACAAATCATCTTAAATGGAAGCATGACACATGACACACACTTTACACTTGATTTAGATGTCTAACTTAAGGAAAATCCTATGCTACTTAGGCCTTAATACAAGCCTTAAATAAACCTACACTACATGGCTGAATACAATGGCCTAGATATCCTACATTACTCTTCAATCCATGCTCTATGATAGCTCGAAAGGTGGCCCAAAAGGTAGAGTTGATATCATCTTCATGGATGGCTTCCACTCTCTTGAAAGTTTTTGACCATGGTTAGGGGATTTTCCATCATTCCATCCCTCTTTAAAAGGATTTTCCCTCAAATCTTCAACATGGAAGAAGGCAAACTTTCTTATCTTCTTTAGAGTTTTGTGCGCTTCTCCACAAAGGTTAAATACCCATTTTATAACACAAGTTTGAACAAATGTTATAATAGTGATTAAATAAAGAATATAGCTCCCAACAATGATATACCTTAAATCAAATGAATGATCAAGGTCTTGGAGAGTAGGAGCATCTTTGAAGCTTTTATTTGTCTTGTGTTGGATGTATATGTTTGAAAGACTATCCATTCCAACACTAGAGTTAAATTTAGGGATATGTCATCATACACTCCCGTTTGAAAATGAAAAGGATTTGTCCTCAAATCTTCATTTCTTTTATGAAAAAACCCTTTTTTTATTATTGGTTAATTTGGGTATCTTCCCACCAGGATCAAAGATCCATATGCAAGTGTCATCAAACACAAAACCAATAACCTTATTAGCCACAAACAACATATATCTAGATGAAAGATTTAAACAAGACCTTATGCTAATTTCAAAAGAATTTACTTGAAAACTTTGAAGGTCTACTCCACAAAATTGTTTGTGTTTACTTTGAGTTAATTGTATCCTAGAAGGTAACATCAACTCAAAGTTTGATTTGGAAAAATTTGAGGAGTTAAAAATAGTGGGAGGTGAAAAAGAAGTTGAAAATTTTTCAAAAGTAAAATTTGGAGTTATGAAAGATGGTTGGATTTATTGAGAAAAGTTCAAGGATTGGAAAACTACCTTCATCATCTTAGTCTCAATCTTAATTGTGGGAGTGATAAGGGGCTTTAGTAACTCTTCCTCTTCTCTTATCTCAATCTCTTTTCTTTCTCATTCCTTTCTTTTATCTCTTTCTCTTTATACTCTCTTCTTCTTTCCTTTTCCTTTTTCTCTCTTCTTACTTGCTCCTCTTTCTCTCTTTTCTCATGCTCCTCATTCTCTCTTTGTTCTTTCTTCCTTCTTTTGTCTTCCTCTCTTATTCTCTTAATCTTCCTTAAATCTTTTTGGATTTTTTATTGTTTTTCATTAAAAATTCTAAGTTCTTCGTCTAAGGTAGCAAGATATTGTTTTCTTTCAACTCTTTCTTTCATTTCTATTTCTCATATTTGTTCATCTCTTCTTCTTTGAATCTCCCTTTTTCTCTTGTCACTCAAGAGCTTTTTCACTTTTTCTCCAAACTCATCTTCTCTTTCCAAGATTTTCCTCTTTTAATGAGTTCTCTCATCTCACATGTTTAGTCTTGGTTTATTACAAGAGAAGAAGGAACACATTTTCTTCTCATGCATGCTCTCAAGTCACACTAATCTTTAATTGGAGATTTTCTACCTTTCTTAAATTACTTCAGACTCTTATGATCATTGAACACCTGAAATTATGCACCATAAAGATAGTGCCTCCAAATCTTCAAGGCAAACACAACTATTGCAAACTCCAAGTCATGAGTGGGATAGTTCTTCTCATGAAACTTAAGTTGCCTTGAAGCATAAGCAACCACCTTCCTTTCCTGTATCAACACACAACCCAAACCTTGATAAGAAACATCACAGAAAACCTCAAAAGGTCTACCTGTGTCAGGGATCACCAACATTGGAGCACTAGTCTACCTTTGCTTTAGCTCGTGAAAACTAGACTCACACCTGTCCGTCCAAGCAAAAGGTTGATCCTTCCTTGTCAGCTGTGTCAACGGCGCCACTATCTTAGAGAATCCCCCTATGAACCAGTGATAGTAGCCCCTCAAACCCACAAAGCTCCTGATCTCGGTGGCAAACTTGGGTCTCTCCCACTAAAGTACCACCTACACCTTTGCTGGATCTACCGAGATACCATCAGCTGATATCACATGACCCAAAACTCGCACCTGGACAGCTTGACATACAAATTCTTCTCTCTCAATACCCCAAGCATTGTTCTAAGATGATCAACATGCTCCTCCCTAGTCTTGGAATAGATAAGAATATCGTCTATAAAGACTACAACAAACTTATCTAAGAACGGTCTGAAGATTATGTTCATGTAGTCCATGAATATGGCTGGAGCGTTAATCACACCAAAAGGCATGACCACATACTCATAATGACCATATATAGACCTAAAAGCAGTCTTCTGCACATCACATGCTTTTACTAGAATCTGATGATAACCCGATCTCAGGTTTATCTTGGAAAACATCGTAGCTCCGTGCAACCGATCCATCAAGTCATCTATTTTGGGCAATGGATACTTGTTTTTAATGGTTAGTTTATTCAACTGCTTGGAGCTACCATCCTTCTTCTTTACAAGCAACGCTGGTGCACCCCACTACGAGACACTAGGCCGTATGAACTATTTCTTAAGCAACTCTTCAATCTGCTTCTTTAACTCCACCAACTTAGCTAGAGCCATTCTATAAGGAACTATTGATACTGGCCTTGCACTTGGCACCAGATCAATAGAGAACTCGACCTCCCGCTGAGGAGGCAACCTCGGTACTTTCTCAGGAAACTCGTCCAAGAAATCACTCACAATTGAGTGATTTAAACCCCGCTCACTCTGGACAACCTCCAAATGAGATAAGCCAAGAAAACAACAAGATCCATCCATCAATTCTTGCCGCACCTGTCCCGAAGACAGCAACACTAACTCCTCTACTTCAGGAAACAACAACTTCTTCTCACCACAATCTATGAGAATGCGATTGACAGATATCAAATCCATTCCTAAGATCACCTCCAACCCTTGAAGAGGTAAGCAGATGAGATTAACTCTGAACTGACGCCCTTCCACTACTGTTGCATCTAGCACACACCGTGGATGTCCTGACCAAACCAGATGCTGGAATAGACCCCACAAGATAAAATTATAGCTCTCTCACAAACAACCCTAGCTCCTCAACACAAGCCTCAGACACAAATGATTATGTTGCCCCCGAATCAAACAACACACTACAAGGTCAACTACACAACAAGCAACAACCAATGATGAGGTTACTTGAACTGGCCGCCTCTGTTCCCGACAAAGCATAAGCTTGAGATCTCCCTACATGGTGTGACTGTGAACTCGTCCTCCTGACTATAGGACAATCTCTAGCATAATGACCCTCTCTCCTGCAGATGTTGCACCTCTTGTATCTAATCATTTGTGAAAGAGCTGACTGAGGATGCGACCCTCCACATATATAACATCTCACACTCCCAGAATAACTAGACTGGCCCAGATGTATGAATGACTGAGAGGAGGAACCCCTAGACCCATGAGAATGAGGCATAAAGTATGGTGTTCTCCTAGATTTGAAGCTTCTCCTGGACACCAATGACCCTCCAACCCTGAACGGCTGACTATGTTGACTTTTCACATCTTTCTTAGTCTTTTCCATCACTCTAGCTCTTTCCACTAACGCCAGAAACTCCTTAATACACAAACCAGCAACCAACAACTTGATATCACCTCTCAATCCATTCTCAAACTTCCGACACTGCCACTCTTCATCCATAGACAAAGTATGAAAACGAATCAGTTAAAACGATCTGCATACTCTGAAACAGACATACTTCCCTGAACCAACTAGAGAAACTCAACCTCCTTAGCATACCTCACACTATTTGGAAAGTATTTAGTGTAAAACTTCTTTTTGAATAACTCCCAGGAAATCTGAGTGCCACTACTCCCCAACAATGATCACATGCTACTCCAGCAATGGCTAGCCTCACCAGTTAGCAAATACTCGGTGTAAGCCAACCTATTCTCCTCAGGGCACCGCTTTGCATTATAAATTCGCTCCATGTCACGAAACCACTGATCGGACTCATCTGGGCTGACTTTGCCATTAAACTTAGGGTGATGTTGCAAGAAACTCTCAAGACTCCACTCCTGAGGTTGAGTGGAAGAAGAAGAAGAAGGCCCAACTGAAACTCTGCTACTACTCATCAACTCAACATATTGCCTTTGGGATGTCTCAACTGACACCCTAGAACCTTCCAACTGCTACAAGGCCACAATATTTTGTTGTACTAAAGCAGCGTTTTGTTGCTGCATTGCATCCAACACAACTCCCATCATCCTCATCATATTCGGTGCATCAGGATTTGTGGGTGGGCGAGGAGGAGGTCTAAGTGCCATCTTCTACTTACACAGAGAGAAAAGTCATCAGTCCAACTCAAAGAAACAAGGTTACTAACTAGACCTAACTATGAGTACACAACACCATCATAGTACACTCATAACCTATAGGATTCTTATCAAAAGAACTGCTCTAATACAAAAAATGTAACATCCCAAAATATAGCATTTAACTATATAATAGGAAACCTCATCTCCCTCTACTCACACCCACAGGATGATCATAGCCAAAAAAATAACACAACCACATACAAACACAAGTACAAGCAAAAGGGACAATTAGATATAAAAAGATTCATACAATATTATAACACATTAAACACCTTAAGTCATTCACATACAACAACCAACTTCAAACATCCTAAACATGTTAAGACTTAGACTTGACTGTTCGGACTTAGAATGATTGCTGAGCTATGGCGGATTGTGCACTTGTGGTGGCCTCTAATGCTTTGCAAAGCCATTGCCAATGGGTTCCACGCCTTGGATAATACTAGAAGCACCCAAGACTAAGACCTCCTACTACTCTTTACAATCAATCTTCTCTACTTGAGAATGAAAGACCATTAGAGTTTCAAGATAACCCCCAAGAATGAGCTCCCTACATTTATACTTAGAACCATATACATTGCGCATTACACTCCAATCCAATCATATTATAGGGAATATAATAACCGAGGAAACTTTTAAACCATTCAAAGAATCAAATATATCCAATATTTATAATAGAATTATACTAAAATAAAATACAACCAAACCCTGGACTAGTCGCTCAACGACTAAGCTCGTTGGGTGACCAAAGAGTCTTCTCGCTCAGCGACCCTACTCGTTGTGCGAACACATAGACATTGGTCCAGACCCCCTGACCTCTTGCTCAGCAACCCTACTCGTTGTGCGAATACACAGACAGTGGTCCAGACCCCCTAACCTCTCGCTCAACGACTCAGGCTGCTGTGCGAATACACAAACAGTGGTCCAGACCCCCTAACCTCTCGCTCAACGACCCTGCTTGCTGTGCGAATACACAAACAGTGGTCCAGACCCTCTCACATCTCGCTCAACGACTCAGCTCGTTGCACAAATACACAGACAGTGGTTCAAACCCCTTCACCTCTCGCTGAGCGACTTAGATCACTCAGCGAGTCTGCATAATTCTGCAACACCAAAACTATAGAATTTCCACCATTAACCACCCTTGATCAATTTCTAACACCCCTAGATTTTATTATAAACTTGAATTGACTTATCCAAATATACCTAAACCATCCTAAACTCCTTTTAAACAATTGGCTACAAGATTTCAACCCAAAATTTACAAAAGAATCACTTTAGAGACTCAAATTGAATTCCACCAAGTATGACACAATTTCAAACAACATAAGGACTCTAACAAGTCCCAAATGACTTACCAAGACTCCCCAAACTGACCATTTGAGCACATAACTCATAATTCAAATTCTCACTAGTCCAAACCCCCAAAAACTAGTTCTAAACCAAACTAAAATCTACCTATCAATCACTAAACACTCTTACACCAGATTTCCTTCATTTCAATGTTTAAACAAGTCCTAAAAAAACTCATAACCAACCCCAACAACATCAAACTAGTTCACCATCCCTTTCTCACCATTTTACTACCTAAGACCTCATCTTTTGCTTCAAAACACTATTAAATTCTACGTATTCAACTCTTTAATCTCTAAACTTCATAATACACATACCAAACAGAAAAATTTAGCATATAAACATTCAATTCCACTTCAAATCAACATACAATACAGTTCACAACAACATTTTATCACAACAATCTCAAAACACTTAATTACCTTTGTTACAATTAACACCTTACAAAATTTTCACTCAAACAGTTTATCATTTCCTATAATCTTCAAACTTACATTACAAACATTAATTAAAGAACAATCTAGCTTCCCTTACCTCTAAACCAACTGTCCCAACTTCCCAAAATGCTCCACTAATTGCTTGCAACACAAGGGATTTCTAAATGAACCTACGAAACACTAATTTTGAAACGGACAGAGTCCTTAGAATTCTAAATCCACCAAGAACCAATAAAGAAGATAAATTGATACATGCAAAATAGTTTCTCTTTGCATGATCAAGAATAAAGAAATACCAAGAAAAAGGAATGAAAACTTACTTGCTTTAAACCATAAATTGATCGGCCAGATAGGTAGTCCTTGTTGTAAGGATTGCCTAGATACCTCCTAATCGTCAAATAGATGACTTAAGAGTAAGAAATTTTAGAGAGATGGTAGAGAGGTTACGAGAATAGTGTTTTAGAAAGATAGACGATATTTTAGATAATGAGACGAGTTTAGAAAATTCTATTTATATTATGAAATTATTTTATAATAAAATACTCAGTCTCATTATTTTAATATACCTACCAACTCTAATACTTTATTTTCTAGGTTCTTACAACACATTTCCAAAAAGAAACATTAAAAAAATATTGAAATTAAGAAGAAAAAAATAACAAGAAAACACAACATCATAAAATTGATTTGAGCAAATCACAAATTATTGGTTTATATTTGAACTAAATTAATATTAAATTCAAATTAAATCAAACTAAACCTTGTATAATTTTTAAGTGAGATTTATATGATTTTTCATATTCATGAAGAGTCTCTTTATGAATTTGAATTTTCTATTTTAGTATTGCTTTTCTACTCAATAGAAAATTTAGGCCGGTCTCAAAATCAACAAAATTATTGTCTCTGATTAAAACAAATAATAATGTTCATAGAAGATTGAACTTGATCTGATAGACACCCTGAAGATGTGTGTGTCTTTCTATTTGATTAACTTTTTACATAATTTATCGATTACAAATCCCACGGATTATACCTATCTCTATAGTTAACAATAAGTAAATTATTACATTGTTTCTCTAATATAGAATAATAAAATTATTAATTATTTATCAATAATTAGTAGTTAAAGTTTGCTTTATATTAACACTTTATATTGAATTAATTCTAAATTCATATTAATCATACTAAAAAATCGTAAATTAAATTTTAAAAAATAATTAATTATAAACTTAAATATTTCAAATACTTATATTCATTTTATATTAAATGATTTTAAAATTATTTCAATAGTTTTAATTTTTACAAATAAAAATTATATAAATATGCGTATATGTATTAGTAATATAAAAACATTAATTAATTAACTAAATAATTTTAATTGTTAAAAATTAATAATATGTGTTAAACATGTATTCAGTGCAAAAAAAATAGACAAAATAAAAAAAAAATGCATAGAAATTGGTTAAGAAGAGCCCATTTTCAGCAGAGAAATCAAACCAAAATTTGGGATATATCTTTGATAATTTTATATGTTGAACCACCTTATCTATTATGCTCTCAACATCATGGTAGCATAAAAGAGAAACACGTATAAGAGAAGAAAAAAGCATTATGTACAGAAACAAAGTCAAGAATACCTCAGATTAAGAGAAAGTTTGTCTCATAGTGGAAGTGTGTCACCAACAACAGTTACCATTAGAAACAAAATACATAAACAAAAGCTTTCATGAAAGGATAAGAACATTGTGAACAGAAAAAACATATCAAGAAAATATACTACTGACACTACTGTTCAACTTTTGTTTACAGATAGCACAGAATCAAGTGTGTAATAGATATAATGTAATGCAATGATGACCAGCAGAAGTGTTCATAATTTTATCTTGCTTTTCTGCCGCTGACTTCAAGTATGATGAATGTGACAGGAGTTTTAATGTGAGATAACTCTTTTTAACCTCTCATATTCTATACAAAATTAGGTACTACGTAGGATCTACCACTGTTTTTGGCTTCGGCAAGGGTGATATTAATGAAACTTCTTTTTCTTTTTTTCGCAGTCTAATATCTCCACTTGATGTGACAATTCACTCTTCCTTCCTCATAAGTTCACACAAAAACAAAAACCATTGGCACAAAACATACATGACATGTAAAAAGATAAAGATGTTTGATAACATTTCTTTTATAATATTTTAATATTATTATTATTTATATGTTATTATTTAATTGGTTTACAATTAATAATAATAATAATCATAATCGTTAATCACGTAAATAATATTAAAATATTATTAAAAAGATTTTGTCAAATGATTGTCCTGTATGAAATGAAAAAACGCATAATTCAGAAAAGTTAATGTTATTTTAACAAAATCCTCTTAACATGCCTAGAGAATAAGTTTAAATAATTTTTAAAAAAATTTAAAAGTAAATTCATCAGTTTAAGAAAGACAGGAATCAAAAGGATTATCATGTATAGTTTGGTCAGCCTTGGATCTCAGGCACGTGCACTGTTTCATGGAAGTCAAAATGC